ATCAAATGCTTTTTCTGCATCTAGAGATGAAAAAGTCTTTTCAATATTTTTACTATATGAATAGTCTATTAAATTATATAATCTATGTGAGTTTGTAGTCGAGTGCCTTCCTTTTATGAAACCGGTTTGGTCAGGATGAATTAAGAAAGGAATTATCTTCTCTAATCTTTTAGAGCGAGCTTTACAAATTATTTTAACATCCACATTAATAAGGGAAATGGGACGATAACTTGTAGGTAGTACTGGGTCTTTACCTAGTTTTAATAGGAGACTTATGTTGGCCGAATTCATATATAATGGAAGTTTCTATACTATTATTATATACTATTATTAGGCAGCAAATATCAGGCCTTCACTTTAATGGATGAATAGAGATGCTGTCAAATCCAGATGGTTAGCTCTAGGAGAGAGCTCAATGAAACCAACATCTCTTGCAGCTCTGATGTGCTCGAGCCTACCATTCGAAAAAACCTATTTCATCACATACACAGAACCCTGTTATTATTCATTCAATAAAAATTTGGAATCAATTTAAAAGGGCCTTTAATCTTACTGAGATGTGGCTTACTGCTCCGTCAACACAAAACCACCTGTTTACACCTTCGGTTATGGACAGGGCGTTTGACAGCTGGGTGGAGTCTGGAATACAGTCTTTAAATGATCTATATATAATTAATAGAAGAGTTGTCTCAAAAGTTTATTATTCATAAATCCCTTTTTTTAGATATTTACAAATAAGACATTTTGTCTCATTTAAATCTAAAGGTTTTCCTTTACATCCCTCCTCTTCTCTGTCAGACCTGATATTTAAAAACAAGGCTGGTGCAAAGCAGCTCATGGATAAAATATATACAAATGCCTGAATCTCCTGTGTTGGCCTTTATGAGATGCCTAAATATTTGTCATACAATACAACATCTATTTACCCAAAGCTCCTCCCTAGAGCTCTATCCCCAGTTGAGCTCCTCCCTGGAGAAAATTTTGAGCAACCTTTGCAAAACAGTAGCAGCAGCTAAATACCTTGAGTCAAGGAGGTGTTCTTAGTAATGTGATGTTATGAGCGTACGGAGGAGGAGTAAGAGGAAAGACAATGATGATGGACAATGTATAGTACTGGTGGGGCCTGTCACTTCTTGTCATCGTGCCATTTGCATAATTAGGGATGTCTTCAGCCAGGACACGCAGGGGTGTGATGCCCCATACTTCATGTATTGTACAGAGTGAATCAATGGAAAGGGAACCAAACCAGTTCCTAACTGTAATTTTAAAGAATCGCAGCTCGACTCAGCTAGGTACCAAGTCTGGTTTAGTACTAAAACCTGTTCAGTGGATAAGCTCCAATGCATTTTCAGATTAAAAGTTTTTCCAACAACCAATGAAACCATGAAAGATGTATTAGCTTCAGACAAACCTCCTCCTCTCCCATCTTGGCAAATTCGTAAAGAAAAGCAAAGTATTCCGTCAGGTGTTTGCTGTGTGGCTTGACGCCGTGCTCCATGATGGAAAGGAGAGTCTTGACAAAACGAGTGACACAGGACCGGCTTCCAATGTCCTCCACTGGGCCATCCATGTCATCAGAGCTGAACACAATGGGTACATAATCAAAGGTTGACAAACAAGAAAGCAAAAAGTAAACAAACATACTCCGTACAGACCTCTGTACAACTAACTGCTGGCTCAAATGCATTTTTCTTTATGTTTCAGACAAGTTTTGAATCTTGGAGCCACAGATACAACACCAACAGGTTGTACTGCATAACTCAAGAAGTACAACAAGAGTTAWTATTAGGGTGGTTTATACCCGTCCTCCATGCCAGGTTGCAGATACAGATGCGCATGAACTGGCCGAAGTCTCTGGATAACATGAATGCATAACCTCTGGAACATCTAGGAAACAAAAGTCAGAAAATGACATGTCTACAACTCTGTGTCATTYGTCCTGACACATTAAAACTTCTTCTTCAGTGTTTGTAATAGTTTATTTTTGGCCTGGTGAGAAAATAGGGTACAAATATATAAGGTCTATAATATTACACTGATTCTACTTAAATCTGCACCATTTCCACAACAACGAATTACCGGTGATCTAATAAAAGGTTGTTGCATAAGTGTGTATGTGTATGTTTCAGAGTGCCCCTTTTATTGCATTTTGCACGTGATCAAAGACAACAGACCTGTCTGACAATCTGATTGGGACACTTTATGAGGATCTGCATTGGCCACCAGTTATCATCAGCCATCCGGTCCAAAAACCACTGAAAACGAGAAAATATAAAAAGACCTTTGCTCATCAGGTAAGGCAACATTTATATAAAATCAACTAAAAGGGAAAATCGATTCTAGACACAAAATGTGCTTGTGTTTGATAAAACAGCAGATTATACACTGAAACTCATACCTCACAGGCACCCTGGCTGTTGTTGAACTGCTTGGTGAGAAGTTCGATCCACTGCAGCATGGTAGGCTGGAAGGAGCAGAGCAAGAAGAAAGCATCAGTCAGGTATAATCTGTGCAGTCCATTAAAAAACAGAAGAACAGATTCAAACATCTGCACATTACCTTTTCTTTAGAGTGAATGAAAGTCTCAAGGACAAAAGATGTGCTAAGCTGCAAAGAAAACAATATTAAAGATTATTAATAATTGCTATATTCTCTTTTAAAACAAGTGTGATACTGTAGTGCATGTTAAGGTAAGAAAAAGGGTCCAAATACTCTAAAATACTACACTTATTCGATTTAAGTCTGCACCTTTTCATTAACAAAAGAGGAGTACATTATTCTCTCAATTATTCTAATAAAAAAGGTCACAGCAACTGAAAATACAGTACATCAACATATTTTTTGTTATTTAGCATAAATGCATCCTGGCTTTTAGAAGATGTTTAAATCTATTTCAACACATTTCGTTCAATGTTTTCTTTTGTACAACTGAATTGTCATTCTAATTTTGTAGAGCTATAGGGTTTGCAAATCTTTCAAAACACTAAGATGTCTAGCAGATTGTAAAAACCTTTTATTTAAGCTTTTTGTTTTGAAAACAAGGCAAACACTTTTTTGGTGTTTCTAAAAAATATCATTTTAAACACAATTGTTTCTACAAACATCTTCATTCACATAGAAACAAAAAAACGCTACCAACAGCATTGTAATAACTATGCTGAGCTTAGTTTTCAGACAGTTCTTGGTGGATTTACTATGTATGTTTTGGGTCATTGTCATGTTGCGGGGTCCATYTCCACTTCAGCTTTAATTTTTTTTATTTTACATAGGATTTCACATGTTCCTCAAGCAACCTCTGATTCACAGTAGAATTCTTGGTGGAATCTGTGAAGGTAAGCTGGCCAGATCATAGTTGTTTTTAATGTCCTAAACTTGTAAACAGTATGGAATGGCTAATTTCAAAATCTTTTGATATGTTGTCCTGATGCATCTAGGTAGAAAAAATCAAAAAGAAAAAAAGAAGTAGGTCCTCTGGATGGGTTCTTCTTTAGTGAAACGTTTTGTCTCTCCTCCAAGAGACTTCTTCAGTCTGATGAGTTTCAGGTGAACTCAGCCTTATAAGCCCTGCCTCCACATGGACAAACAGGTTAGTCACATGCAAAAGAGGGCCATTGCCTAACAATAGGCTTGATTAGCTCTATTGTTCATAGAGGGTCATGTGCMCCATCACTTGACTTATTGGTTTGGATTCTTCAGGTGTGGTTATTTGGTGTTTTGTGGGGCGGCTGTGGCAGAGCGGTTAGGGGAGTCGTCCTGGAACCGGAAGGTCAATGGTTCGATCCCCTGTCCAGCTGTCTCAGTTGTTGTGTCCTTGGGCAAGACACTTTACCCCCTAATGCATCTGATGTGTGTCCCATCAGTGTATGAATGTGACTGGCACTGATTAGTCTCCATAGTTGATTGTACATGTTAGCTTTGTAGGAGCTCTAGTAGAGTGCTGTGTGAATGGGTAAATGAGGGCACAGATTGTAGTGTAAAGCACTTTGAGTRTCCTGAATGGATAGAAAAGTACTATATACCGGTAAGTACAGTCCATTTACCAGATGATGGTTACGTTCACACTGCAGGTTTTTTCAAATCMGACTCAGGCCGTTTCAGTATGTGGCTCTRAATCGGATAYATATCTGATGTTTTCAAAGTGACTGCAGTGTGAACGCTCATGTCACATTCATCTGACTTTTTCATCAGGAGGAGGGGGTGAAGGACCGATGAGACAGATTTGCTAGGTAAGGGGCTGAACGCAGGTTCCTGTGGGTTGTCGTATGGCTTGTGGCATCACAAAATGACGGAAATATAAAACTTGTCGTTAATAAACATTAAAAATACATTTACTTACAGTAAATATGCCCCTGGGTGCAATTTTTTGGTGCTAGGATTGTTTTTTTAAGAAGTTAAGTAGTTCCGCTTTAACCCAAACCTACTCATGCCAATAGCTAGCTTGGTAAGTGTAATAAAGGGCCAAGTCTATAAGACCATACCAATGGAGAAATTTTAGGGGGACAAAAAAGAAACAAATCCAAAAATAGGGGACAAATAAAAGAAAAACAAATCCATAAATACTGTAGCCTTTCCCACTCTGTACAAAGCCTTTGGTACTGTATAAGAAATTGTTCGTGTAGCATTTCTCACCTTGGCTGTCATGAGGGAGACTGCTTTGGGGTCTGGTAAAGTGCTGGGGATGCTGCTACATAGCTGCCACATGAACCTAAAAAATAAATTAGGTAAATAATGAACCAATTACAGGGTGAGTTACAATTTTAATTGCAGCTAGAGTTCATTCCATCATACAAATAGAATCTACACTCACCCAAAATAAGTGTGCTCAAAAATATTCTTATCCTGTAGAAACTGCATATTGTCGTGCCAAATCCACTAAAACAGAGAAACAGGGAAGTTACAGATGCTAAAATAAAAGTGTTTTAACGTTGGGGCAACAAAAAGACCCTAAGTACCTCAAGTAGGTCAGAAGAAACATCAAAACTGAAGTCCTTCCCATTCTCCTCCTCCAGCTCCACTCTCTTGTAGAAGAGCATGTAGGCACTGTGTGTCTAAAGGATGAGCAACATGTCAGTGTTTTTATCTCAACAAAACAAAGTGATCTAAACACAAAAATAATTCAGAGATTCTCCTCACCTTCTCAAAGGAGAAGTCCATGAACTTGTCAGTGACAGAGTCATACGTTTTAGTCTAAAAAATGAATAAAAAGATTAAAGTCAGCTGCAACAGATGGAATAATTTTTTCCCCTGGCTGCAGCTCGTACCGTCATCTCTCCACCGAAACACTCAGAAGCAAGCTGTGCTGAGTCAAAGGGCTTCACCTCTGCATCGTTGAATAGATACCTGCAGGTTTTACACACATCATTTCAGAGAGCTGAATGAGAAACCTCGATGACTCATAAGGCAATGGTTAGAGAACTAAAACTGAAAACAGCTCAGTGTTAAAGGCTAACATCATCTGATCTCACCACTTGTTGTTCTTGTAGGCATGGGGGTTGACAATGTCCCTGATAAAGCTGTAGTAATGGCCGCCGTCTGCTGTGCCCGTGTGAACAGTGACGCCGATTAGGTCATATTCATAGCTCCCAGTGATATTTACTTCTCCTTCTTCCCGAAAACCTAAATCCAAAAGGCAGGTAACTCACAATACTGATTGTAGACATTGTTCATCATATGAAACCAAAACTAAAACATTTTAATAGAAAAATCCCAGCAGAATCGGGGGTCAACATAACCGTTATTTAGGTTGTCCGAGACAACCTATTTTTGTTTTGGAGAACCAGATCCTGCCTTGTAATCCTGCATTATGTTATAACAYTGCAATATGTAATAATGTAATAAAATCGGGCTTCAAAATGCAATAAAGCYGCACTAAAACCACATTATGTAACAATCGATGCAAAATCTAAAAAGTCTTCAACACAATTTGTAATACTCGCAGCCGCATTATGTAATAACACTATTACATTTTGCAGAGATTGTTACAAAATGCGGTGGTTGCCTTGTTAGAAATTAAAATGTAATGTGGTGCATTATCTAATAAGCGATCACAAACCAGTGTTTTTCTTTCATCCTAATCAATGCACTTGTAAAAACGATCATGTTGCAGATACTAAACATTTAAATCTTTGAAACTTTGATCAATAAAACGCCCAACTTTTCATCATTTAGTTGCCGATTCATAGCCAGATTTCTCTGTATTAATCTAAAGGTCGAGGCAGGCGATCATGTAAACTGCTTTTGTAACTGATTGGATTTCATAAAAATGTTAATCTGTGCTTTAAGAAGCATATGGAAGGTGGGAAAATGTTTCTGTTAACGTTGCATGAAAGAACCACTTGATTTAACAATTAGCCAAATGCAAATTGAACAGGACCACGACAATTTCCTCAGAGGCACAGGATTTTATCCGAAGCTAAAACCATCACTGCACATCGTCCACCACAAATACAGGCCACAAGTGCGCAATGCATGTGGCACACAAAAACAGGATACTATGTGCTAAAAAATAATTAATTTAAACAGGGCAAAAAATAGATTTGATTTATGCAGAATGTAATCGAAACTATGTCAAACAAAACTCCAGCAAAACAAAGACTGGGAAGTGGATGGGGTCAGTGAAAGTCCTTTTTAATTATGACCACCACATGCGAAGCGTAAGCAGGAGTCACATTGTTTTCGTTCTGTTTATTTTTTTATTGTTATTTATTTTTCCTCCGGAGGTTTTTGGTCAACCGTAGCACAAAAACGGCTGCACTGGTCAACATGAAATTTGGCAGGRCTGTAGATGAGTCTGACCTACACCGCGCCAGCCAACGGTTTTACAATAGACCCCATATTTGAGGAGAAGGTTCCTTTGAAAGTGGGGGTGTCTGGACGTGCAAAAATGCTTATAACTCAGAAACTGTTCAACAAAGAAGCTTCAGATTTATTTTGTTGTTTAGCTCTGATGAAGCTCTATCCATCAGGCCCACCAAACAGTGCAGCGGCAGCCCTCAGAAGACAGGTGAACACCTCCCGAGACACTCTCAGCATTACCCAGACTATTTTTCACTGAGGATTACGTATTTTAAATGAATTAAAATTTGAAAGCACCTCACAGCATTTCCATCATAATACTGTGTGTTCATGCGCACAATAAAGCCATGAGAAATCAATTGATCGTTGTTTTTGAAGTGTAGATTCAGAAGCTGCTGGACCAAATCTTCACACACAACACAGCTCCAACCTGACCGGGACTTCAGAGTCTAAACTCCTTTTATTTTTTTAAACGTTAATATGTTTGGAGCATCATTATCTTAGACATGTGCAACKTGCATGTGAACTCCTAATTCTGAAAGGAGCAGCAGGAGTGTGTTCTAATACTAAAGCTGTAAAAATATTTAGACAAAATACTTATTTGCCCCAAATTAAAACAAAGATGTATCTCTGTTTGACTTTGATTTTCTTCTAAAATCAGGGATTTGTAGTTCATCATAAATATCTGCCTAATTTAATGTGTTTCAATACCGTGCACTTTAATCCCTATAAATTAAACAATAATTTTAGTGGGGAAGCGTGTCAGTTTGGTAAAAATAAAAAGTACAATAAAAAGAAATTAATTTATTCTGTGCAAAGAACTTCTTGTGCTATAATTTTTTCATAATATATCAGAGCTCTTCAGTTGAAAATACTCAAATGACAGAGAAAAGCTGTTTAAAACCTCCCCTCAGAAAGTTTTTTTCCCCTTCAGAAAGTTTTCAGTCCTAAGAAACTAAACTGTGTACTTTTACTAAGGTCATGTACACAGTATACTCCTATTTAAGTGAAAATTTTTAACCTGTATGCAGAAAGAAACTTATGAATGTGTGATACTGGGAGGTGGTAGAGAGTGATGCTTGGGTAACCTCTAGGTGTAGAAAAATTTTAGCAGTATTTTTTGCTACTTTAACCCCTGAGCATCTCTATTTCAAAGGAGGAGAAGGAAGTTCTACTCAAAAAACTCCTGAAACTGTCAACTTGGCTGACTAAGAACATTTGTATATAGCAATCATTGTCTACAGAACAATGGGCCTCATGCAAGAACCGTTCGTACGCACAGATTTGTTCTTAAGTTGTGCGTACGAGTGATTTAGGAGAATTTGTGGCATTCACCAA